TCACTGGAACCCTCCTGTCCTGCTGAGGGGGAAGTAAAACGGTAGACGATGTCGCTGGCATTTCTTAAAATCGAATCCACGCCTGCCACGTGACCCCGCCCGTCCCCCTCGAGAGAAGTAACAGCCCACGTTCAGGAAAAGACGAGTACAAACGTGATCACAGCAGCTTTATTTACAGGAGCCGCACCCAGAGGCCAAGCAAACGCCCGTGAACAGGAGAGCACACAGCCATGGTGCGCCCGAGCCGTGGACGCTCTGCAGCGACAGAAAGGAGTGAGCCACGGTCAGACACAGCTGCGCCGACGCCAGAATGATGACACGACTGAAAGAAGCTCCGGACACGGAAGGCGTTTATACTGCAGGACTCCATTTATATAAATGACTTAGAAAACACAAATTATCTAGAGAGACAGGAAGCAGATCGGTGGTCGCCCGAGGATGGGGTCCGGGACGTAAGGATTTCAAAGTGGCGCGATAAAACCCTGGGAGGTGACAGGCAGTTCTTGCAGGGGCTCCATTGGGGAATCCAAGGTCCGCTTTACACACGCGCTATGTGCTGTCCGTCAAGCGCGCCTCCGTAAGGCTGTTAGAAAGCAAAATGGTGTGGTGACTCCACAAAGCTGACACATGGAAATGAAGGACAGGGTCTGCCCACCACAGCCTGCGCACCTGTGGCACAGAGCACAGTGGGGCCACTGGGCCTCCACGGCGCCGACAGGTGTCCGCTGCAGTGTCACAGGCCAGCAGTCGTCCCTCCCCGGGTGGAGAAGAGCCACTGCTAGAAGGTCCGAGGGCTGCCGCCGCGGAGCCCGGGAGCCGCTGCAGCTGACCCCACAGGGACCCATGCTGTGGGGACAGAGCCAGCACCAGCAGGAAGGGACAGTGGACAGAGGAAAGAGAAGGACTCGATGCAGGTGCAGCAGGGCCAGAGCGGGGAGAGCGCCAGAAGCTGGCCGCCGTATTTTTAGCATGACTCCAAGTTCAACAGAAAAGAGAACTCTATGAAGTGAGAAAAACTATCTGAACTAAATGTTTAGGAAAAGGCATGATGGGAAAGTACCAATCCCACACAGAGCTACTCTAAGAAAAAAGGAGGAGAACAAACACCCCTACAGAGAGCGAGGGCACACCAGAAAGACGTACCCAGCAACCAGACCAAAATGAGCCGCTTCAAAACATCAAGAGAGAAGATCCGAGATGGGAGGACGACACATCAGCATGAGAAAACATCAGAAATAAGGTCACAGAATTCCGGAAACTAGACAGACAAGAAAATTAATTTCAGAAATGAGAATCAGAGCAAACAAACACAACAAATAATGGCTTTAGAAATAGGACATCATGTGGAGAACAAATTTTAGGAGACAAAAGAAATTTAAAAAGAGATGAAGGAGATTCAAGAAGAAGAAAACACAGAGGACGGACAAATCTGACTTCAACACAGAGAAACTGAGGTTCCCCCAAACAGAAGCCCAAAACACGGAAACCAGACCACTAAGCCGCAGTTCCAGGAAACCCTGAAATAGCGGATGTGAACACGCACAGACGGACAGCCCGCGTGCTCCCGCAAGCACTGACCCAGCGCGAACACCACAGGACACCGTCTAACACAACCGCGGAAAACAGACCTCGGAACATTGAAGCCAAAAGGACACACGATTTGTAAGAAAGACTCACTGGGCTTTTCACGCTGGGAAAAAATCGAAATAAAGATTTCAGATACTTGGGACGCCTGGGTGGCTCAGTGGGTTAAAGCCTCTGCCTTCAGCTCAGGTCATGATCTCAGGGTCCTGGGATCGAGCCCTGCAGCGGGCTCTCTGCTCAGCAGGGAGCCTGCTTCCCCCTCCCTCTCTCTCTGCCTGCCTCTCTGCCTACTTGGGATCTCTGTCTGTCAAATAAATAAATAAAATATTAAAAAATAAAAAAAGATTTCAGATACTCAAGGGAGGAAAATGTGAGCCAAGGATTTCATACCCTACAAAACTGATTTCAAACATAAAGCAAACAAATTAAGGTCAACGTGGGGAGGTCCGGGAGGACAGTTCCAAGATGACAGTTCCAAGATGACACTGACCAAACGCGGGCCGTGTAACCACGGACTACACGAAGTGAGACGAGATGAGGACAAGGGGGGAGCTTTCACTGTGCAACGACTGACCATGTACATGCAGTGCTGTTTTCACTGTCAGAGCAGAACACGAGTATCAGTGTCCCCGCACTGCTTGTTACAGTGCAGTAAAGCAAGTGCGTAATTAAGCAACTTCTGTCCCAGGATTCTCAGTGTGGAAGGACACACGGACACAACATGGAAGAGCTGAGTACTCTGAAATCCCGAGTTCCTATTGGAAATATCAATACGAGCTCAAGTATTTTATCTTTAAATGTGTGTACACATGTAGGTTTTCTAACTCTGTGCACTGAAAAGCCCTAGAGGCAATGACCAACCCTATAGCGACAAGCACCAAGCATGTGAAATACCATTTCTGCCATTAAAAGAAACTGGGATTCTAGGGAGTCTGGCTGACTCAGAATAGCATGCAACTCCTGATTTTGGGGTTCTGATTTCAAGCCCCCCACTGGGTACAGAGATTACTTAACTTACAAAACAAAACAAAAAGAAAGAAAGAAGCTAGAGTTAGAGAAAGAGGCAACGCCAGATCAGGAGCAGGAGAAGTACCGGATGGGTCTGGAGCATCTTGACACACCAGACTGCATGGAGCTGAGGACTGGGTGCACACACGCGTAGGGTCTGCACATGCATGCGGGTGTGCACGCACGGACTGCGAGTGAGCCTACAGTGTACACCTGTGTGGTCAGTGCACATGTGTGCATACATGAACATAAAACAAACAGCCAACCTGAAGATCGTCCCCCTACAGGCCAAAGAAGCTACAATTCCGGTTCAATAAAGAAAGTGCAATGACCTGAAACCTATCCAAAAGGCTCAGGTAAATGAGTTCATGACACATATGTGTTATAAGAACGTATGAATACAAGGAAGTTGAGAGGCAACGTGGGCGGTTTGGGGGGTAGGAAAGGAAAAAATGAAACAAGATGGGATCGGGAGGGAGAAAACCATAAGACACTCTTAATCTCACAAAACAAACAGGGTTGCGGGGAGGGGGGAGGGGCGGGTAAGAAGAGGGGGGGCTGGGTTATGGACATTGGGGAGGGTATGGTGAGTGCTGTGAAGGTGTAAACCTGGCAATTCACAGACCTGTACCCTGGGGCTAATAATGCATTGTATGTTAATAAAAAAATAATAAAAAAAAAAGTATGGGGGGGTGCCTGGGTGGCTCAGTGGGTTAAAGCCTCTGCCTTCGGCTCAGGTCATGATCCCAGAGTCCTGGGATCGAGCCCCATATCGAGTTCTCTGCTCAGCAGGGAGCCTGCTTCCCGCCCCCCCCGCCTGCCTCTCTGCTTACTTGTGATCTCTGTCTCTGTCAAATGAATAAATAAAATCTTAAAAAAAAAAAGTATGAATAAAAAACCTTAAGTGGCCACCTTCTAAGGATGACAGGGAACTAATTATCTTTGCACTTATCCTGCCTTTCCTAAATGAGCACCACTGGGTAACCAAATAGCAGATGAGAGGACGCATCTTCTAAAACCAACCCAGCCAATAAATGTCAGCAAAATCACAGCATATCACCATTTTAGAGGCTCTGAACCATTAACAGACGGATGCACTGGGCACCGGCAGCCGCCAACACCAGGAAAATGCGAAGAGCCTGTACCTGTGGATGAAGGCACGCGGCTATTTACCACTCACTAGAGGTGTGGAGCCTGATTCTCGTCAAGCCTCTGGGTCCAGCTGCCAATTTACGGGAAGTACAGAGGCCAGAGAAAATGCTGGACTGTGTCAGGACAATGTATGTGGCAAAACCTAGACCGTGGGAATCAACAGGACCAATGGCCCAGGTTCCTCAATAGGTAACCCTCACAAGTAGACCAATACACGCAATAGAGACTTCAGAAATACGGAGTCTAAAAAAAAGCAGACAAGGTTCAATTACCACGAAGAAACACAAATAAGTCATTTCTATAAAAGTCAGGATTCGCTTCGAAGGGAAGGAGGGGCTTGGGTTGGAGAAGCACACGGAGAGCCTTCTGGAATGTCTGGCCAAGTTCTCGTTCTTGGCCTGAGTGGTGGTCATCAGGGTGCTCACCTTATAGTAATGACAACTTGACGAGCTAAACATTTGTGTCATTTTCTGTACCTTTTTATGATAAAGTAGTAAGAAAAAAAATTGGGGCGCCTGCGTGGCTCTGTCAATTGTCTGCCTCTGGCTCGGGTCATGATCCCAGGGCTCTGGGATTGAGCCCAGGATCAGGCTCCCTGCTCATCAGGGAGTCTGCTTCTCCCCAAGCCTCCCCACACCCGCCCTGTGCTCTTTCTCACTTACTCTCTCTCTCAAGTAAAAATAAAATCTTTAAAAAAAAATAAATTTAATAAATTTAAAAATTTTTAAAAATGATCAGACCAAACTTTAACTTGCATAGTGCTTTTTTTTTTTTTTTTTTTTTTAAAGTAGGTGCCACACCCAGTGGAGTGTGGAGCCCAATGTGGGGCTTGAACTCACGACCCGGAGATCAGGAACTAAGCTGGGATCCAGAGCCAGATGCTTAACTGCCTGAGCCACTGAGGGGCCCCTGCTTGCATAGTGCTTTTAACAAAAACAGCCCAAGAAATTTTAGAAGATTTACTCCCGCATCTTGCTCTGTAAGAGGCTCCCAGACGGCAGTCAAGCTGCCGGGGTCATGTGCAGGCTCGCCTTGTACCCAGTGCCAGCCCGTTAAGACCCTGCCCACACTCGCTTGGCCGAGGCCTGTGCCCTTGGCAGGGGCTGCAGCCACCAAGGAGCACTGACTCGCTCTAATCCACAGGTACGTACAAGTCCACCGGCACATCCTGAGACTCAATCCTGCCAACGAGAAGGTTCATGAACACTTTCAGATGCTTCCAGACCTTGTGTTTTCAAATCACTGCTGCATTTGTGCCGTATTAAATCAGTCCTAAAATTTCTGTCCAGATGGCAATGAAACTGTGAATAGTGTCAAACCCAGTAAAGCATAATGCTGAAATTTCAAGTCATGCTCAAATCCTGAAGGATGTCAATTTGTTAGAATTTAACTCCTTTTTATCACAGGATATCCCAGAATGACGGATTTATTACTTTTCTGCAGGTTGTATCTCCCCATCTAGTGCAAGTTTTATTTTTCACACCAGTAAGGAAAGGCAAGCAAACAGCCACTCACTCCAGCTGTCCAAGAATGACGACGACCTCGCTCAGTCCTCAGATCGCTTTGCTCCTTCTCGTGCTAATCTGTCCGCCTCTTCATTGCCTACAAATCCCGAATGACCAGGAACATGCATCTGTTAAATAAATTTATTTTTCCTTTTACCTTTACTGGATTTTTTACACAAGCAACACACAAGTCCATCCTGACTCTTCCCAGTGGGGGGAGGGGGAGAACGCTCCTTCCCCAGGCGTCCCTCCATGGTTCTACAGGGGACAACCTGTAAGCCCAACACACGGACACATGCAGGCACTTACAAAATCCCATTTTGATTCTCCGCAAATTGGATCATACTGTTTTTGCTAATTTTTATAACCTGAATGATGGAACTTGGAAAGCTTTCCAAGTAAAACGTATGTATATATAGATGAGGACAGGTATATATCCAAAACACATACTTTAGTTTCTTCAAATGCTGTCAGAAAGAGGAGATACAATCATGTGATTTGGGTTTTTTTCTAAGTAGGCTCTACAACCAATGTGAGCCCAACGGGGGACTTGATCCCACAACGGTGAGATCAAGACCTGAGCTGAGATCGAGTCAGACACTTAACCCACTGAGCCACCCAGTGGCTCAGCACTTCTGCGCTTTAACCGCTGTTTCCGTCTACACTGGGGAAGGGCAGATTTAAACCTTACGTCACCAAGCTGTTCTCAGTGGTCCTGGAGTCGAAGAACAACACAGAGTTAAGACAATGGCTGCAGTTTAACTTGCTCTGTATTGTTGGAAACAAGTTTTTTGTTTTCTTTTAAGGTTTTATTTATTTGACAGAGACAGAGCAAGAAAGCATGAGCAGTGGGGAGGCCCAGAGGGAGAGGGAGAAGCCAACTTCCTGCTCAGCAGGGAGCACAACACAGGGCTTGATCCCAGGACCCTGAGATCATGACCTGAGTAGAAACCAAGAGTCAGACACTCAACTGACTGAGACACCCAGGCGCCCCTGATATCTTATGCTTTTATACAGGACAGATTCATACGGAGGATGTATGGGTAGATATTTGTAACTGTAGATCTGTTGGAAATTGTATTTCCTAAAAACAATTTAATTTTTTAATAGCCTTTTTTTTAAAAGATTTTATTTATTTATTTGAGAGCTAGACAGAGATAGCAAGAGAGAGCATGAGCGGGGAGGAGAGGGAGAAGCAGGCTCCCCACTGAGCAAGTAGCCTGATGTAGGGCTTGATCCCACTGGGATTATGACATGAGCCAAAGGTATTCACTTAATTGATGGAGCCACCCAGGCGCCCCTGAAAAAACAGTTTTAATAAAAATTATCTATTGGGGCGCCTGGGGGGCTCAGTCGGTTCAGCATCTGCCTTCAGCTCGGGTCATGATCCTGGGGTCCTGGGATCGAGCCCAGCATTGGGCTCCCTGCTCGGCGGGAAGCCTGCTTCTCCCTCTTCCACTCCCCCTGCTCATGTTCCCTCACTTGCTGTCTCTCTCTGTCATATAAATTTAAAAAATCTTTAAAAAAAAATTAAATAAAATAAAAACTATCTATTAATAAGAAAAATATTTCCATTTTGGAAAAAAAAGTCATGTTCCTAAAGTCTTATCACACTTTATTTTTAACAAAATACCTTATAAATTAGTTTTATTTTGACATGATGGCTGATTCTAAAGAAACAAACAGGTTGACTACCACCAAGCCACTTTAACAGTGATGAGGTTAATGAAGGGTAGTGGGAAGAAAGGCAGGTAGGGACAAGTGTCCTCCCGACCACCCAACCAAGAGGAAACAAGCGTTAAAAGGATTTTACACCGCTCTGGAAAGAGCCCTCCACTCTTTCCCACGCTGATGACAAAAACTTGATTGGGCGACAGGCACAGGGAGGGTCAATCAGGTTAAAACAGCCTGCAGACAAGACCAGAAACCCCCTAGACTTAGAAACTCTGGAGGCAGCCCTCTCAGGTCCCCTCCCTCTTTGCGAGCTTCGTACTGTCCATCACTCTGAACTTTGCCTGGCTGCCCAGCACTCTTCATCTGGTCTACCTCTTCATTCTTCCAAGCAGCATGACCACAACTGCAGGCACCGAAGGAAAAAAATCCTGCAACGCGAGCCCAGACGAGGCCCTCCCAAGCACCGCCGAGACAATGAGAGGACACTGAACGCCCCTCAGTCACGCTGCCCGAACGGTGTGTTCTACACACAATCACAGCAACAACAAGCAGCGTCACTTACAGGATGATCAAGACTCAAAAATGTTGCAATTTCTAATACCCGCTATGGTATTAATGTTATGTAAGCTTGAACTTAAGTCATTAAATCACCTACAGACAGTACTAGTCTCTCCAGTTAACTCAGAATATTTGGTCCTAGACACCTGGGTGGCTCAGTCAGTTAAATGTCCAACTCTTGATTTCGGCTCAGGTCATGATCTCAGGGTTGCGAGACCGAGCCCACATCGGGCTCCACACTGAGCGTAGGGCCTGCTTAAGGTTCTCTCTCTGCTGCCACCCCCACCTTCTGTCACCCAAGCGTCTGGTCCTCACAGCCATGTAAGAGGACCGGTTCGGACAACACGCACCCACTGGATGTCCATGCCCTGGGTGAGCTGCTCCAGCGCCACGAAGTCCTCCTTATTGATCACCTCTTTCCCCGTGCTCGTCTTCCACCCATTCTTCTTCCAGCCTTGAACCCAATTCGTGATCCCTACGAGAAATGCACTCACAGTCTGCTGAGCTTGCATGTCCCGGTCTCTTCCTCCCTAGACTTCCCCCTTCCACCTGCTCTACTCGTCTTCGCAGTGGCGTGGACTTGCCGCTGGCCCACACAGGCTGTACTCCGGCCAGGGGCACACACCCTGCACGCTCCTCTGCTTACCCCTCGGACTGGACTGGTGCTGACCCACAGCTCCCAGCTTAAGAGGACACCTCTCTGCTTCTCCAACCCCCTTCCCGTGCCCTAAACATGATTACCTCTCAAAGGAGCCATCAGCACGCCACCTTCAGTTACTTACGCGTGTTTACACTCGAGGGACTAGGAGAGCAGGGACACAGCTACCCGCTGCCCTATCTTAGGAGCCTGGCAAAGACATGTCTATGTGGCGAACTCCAGAGCAGCAGATCTGGGCTCCAGAATCCCCGGTTTTCTCTTTATACCGGACAAACCAACGGTTGTCTTCATTCACCATTTGGGTCCTGCCCTGATACACCTCCCATAGGAGAAGGAAATACCTATTTTCCTTCATGTTTACCAGGAAACACCAGAAGTAAAATGTAGAAGCTTACCATTTATAGTAAACATACTGTCCGTATATAGAACCAGCTTCTTGATGTCTTGAGCCTTTGCTTGCTCGATGGCTTTGCAGGCTGCCTTAAAGAAACAGGTCAGTCATCATGCTACAGAAGGTGTCCGATTTTCAACATTACCGAAGTTCAAAATCACTTCGCTATTTAAACATTCTTTCTTTTTCTGTGCTAAGTGTAATGATTATACGCTCTGCATGAAATAATGCCACACATACGGTTCTGTTTGTGCATCTATGTGAAATAACTTTTAAAACTTTTCTGGAAAATTCCTATCCATCAGAGTCACTAGTAACCCCAAACCAAGTTTCTTCTGGACTTTGAGTATCCTGTGCGCACACAGTGTACGCGGTTCACTGCTACGACGGTCTTACTCTCGGTGGGAAATGTGTCTGACAACTTACATGAATTTCTGCTCTTTGGTTGGTCTGCCGCCCGGGAAGCCTAATGCCTATATTCCTGGTTGCAAAACAATACAAAGGAAAATGAAATCAATTAAAAAAGCTAATTCCCAAAGTGATTCCTTAAGCCTCTCAATGGAGGACAGGCTTGATACATTTTTTTGACATATGAAAGCATCATACAAATATACAGCCTTTAAAAATCAAACCAAGAGTACTAGCATTTTATAGAAAAGCACCAAGGGATGGTCTTGTGAAGAATACTGGGCCAGAAATCAGAACCAAAGTTTTCTCTCTGGCCCTGCAATTCATTAGCGTGGGGTCCTGGGTGAGCACTAAGCCCGCAGACACTCAGTGCCACACAAGCTTGTTGCCTCTTAGAGGGTTTGCAGCTAAAATGAGATCCCAAAGGGAAAGAACTCTATAGACCACAGGTCGAGAGAAATATAAAGTCTTACTCAACAGTTTATATTCCATTATGCCCAACACTGCTGTGGGCACCTGGAAATGCTGGAGACAAAGCTCATAGCTGATGTGGCTACTTCACAGGCTCAAATTCGTCTTTTACATGGAATCTGAGGGCTGCCCGGGGTATGTGAAAGATCACGCTTTGCATCCCCCTGAGCTCGTGCCTTGTGAAAAACTAGAGGTCACCTCTAAGCTCACACGTCCTCAGAAGAGTCTTGGGAACATGACAGGTTCCAAGTCTGGCAACCCTGGACGTCCTTGCCAGAACCATCCCGCAGGAGACATGTGACTCTCCTAGGGGGCAGGGAAGTCATTTTGGTAGAAGATGTCATCAGCAAGACACAGAAACTCCCCTGGATTCAGGGTGAAGAAAGCAATGCTGAGGTAATTTACTTTCTGAAGAACAAAGCTATCAGTGTCGACATGAACCAAAGCTTGCTCCTTTGCAACCTCTGCCAAAGCTAACCAAATAATCAGATCTCGTGTCATTCCTTGACAAGTTTTAGAATGTGATTCACTTACACTTGAAGCCTTTTTTGTTTACTCACAAAGGATGGCCAGGCCCCCAGTAAACACCTATGCCTGCTCGTGCCCTCCTCCGCCCGTTGCTGGAGCAGCAGCCATCAGTGTAGACGACAACAAATTCTCCTAAAAGAGGGAATTTCATGAGTGGCACTGGAACCAAAGCACAAAAAACTGAGATTCAATTAACAAATTCACTTAGCTTGAATTCACATTTTAACTGAGAGAGTATGTACAACGTGATCTATATTCCCTATCTAGAAAAACATTATCAGTCCCTTATAAAAGGGCCCTCAATACCTTTTGATTAGCATGCCCTCCTACCTTGGATATGGCAATTTAAAGGTAAATTAAAGGTAAAGGCAGGCATTTTGTGAACTCAGAACCCGCTGCTGTTGCATTCCCCATTGCAGAGGTCAGAACAGTGTCGCCATCCCTCTCCCCACGGGGAGCAGGGCTCGCTCTCACTCTCCGGAGCCGTCTTTGCAAACAAGTAGTGTCTTGGCATGATAAGGACCTGTCCCCCAGAAGGTCTAGTCCTCTGACAAATGTTGGTCTAATTTTTTTTTTCTTAGTATATTTGCTTCTAATAAACTACGGTCCCCCGTGTTTGCTTTGTTCCATCAAGACAGAGGCTCAGGGGTACCTTGGTGTCATGATTATTATATGGAAAACTCAAAAATCCAAAATATATACCCATATAAGAAAATGTGTCTTTGTCAACTGAAGGCACGGATCCCGTGGTCTGTCTTGCCTGCTTTGCACAGGGCTCTGCGTTTTCATCTCCGTCCGAGAGCTCACGGAGTCGCTTGTTGGCTTTCGCTTGTGATTCTTGTTCATGCTTATTTTCTGTCTCTGAAAGATCAAGTCCACTTAAAAAGCAGGAAAAAATGAACATAACACAAAATGCTTAACAATCCAGAAATTCAGTATGTGACTTAGTATCACTAAATCAGACTTAAGTATGCTCTGCGACCCTACAAAGAGGAAATCGCTTAGGACAGTCCACACCGTGTCAGATTTTCAAGTCCTATGAGATTACTCTGAAGTTTCCCTAAGCTTGACAAGGGCGATAGGAACACAGGAGCAACATCTCTGTCAAAGCAGAAACCTGGTTTTGACAGAGACAGTAGATAGCAAAGGTTTGAATCCCACTGGGACGGTGGGCAGTTTGACAACCTGAGGGACTCTGTCCCCAGGAAGAAAACAAGGACTCGAACTCTGTAGATGCGATTACTCTAGGTACGTCAACTCCTTCCATGCCAAGTTGAGAACCTCCAGGAGAGCTGAGAGGGCATGGGTAACTGGACCTTAAGTGAGGAGACAGTGGGCCACACTGAGAAAAGGAAGCAGAAGCCCAACAGCAGAAGGGACTGGGCCCTTCAGGGCGGCGGCTACAGAGCTGTCCTTCAGGAGCTCAGCCGTGGGATGCAGGGTTAATCGCAGAGGCCTCTCTCATACTCCCTCAGGTTCTGTGGAGCAGCTCTTCCTACATTCTCGTTTTGTGGCGTGGGAACAGAGGCACGAAGAAGCAACCAAGCTTATCTGCAAAACCACCACCACGCCCCACACTACAGAATTCACTTTAAGCTCATCCCTAAAGCAGGGACGGAGAAATGGGGCTCCAGTGTTGACTGGACCCTCACCACACGGGTCCAAGCCAGAACGTCCTGCCTGCGGTAGCTTCTCCACCCGCCCCTGTCAGAGACCGCTACAGGTTATCCAGACAAAACCCGACCGGAGCCACTACGGAGGGCAATGTTTGCGCTTCCACTCTGCTGTATTTACCTTTAAAATATTCCTCGGGGGTGGGGGGGGGCGCCTGAGTGGCTCAGTCGGCTCAGGTCACAACCTGGAGTGCAGGGACCTAGCTCGGCATCCAGCTCCCTGCTCAGTGGAGAGTCCGCCTCTCCCTCTCCCTGCAGCAACCCCTGCTTTGCTCTCTCACTCTCGCTCTATCTCAAATAAATAAACTCTTGAAAGAAAAATATTCCTCTAGGGACTCTATGTAAGTAAACCCCAAAACACAAGTACAAATCAAAGGGTAATTTTGTAGAAGTTTAATACCGATACAAATACTGATTTTATTTGTAATAACATAGAAAGTTAAATTGGAATCCAAGTTTTTAAAGGACAGACAAGACTTTGAAGGAAAAGGAGCCCATTGTTGTCAGATAATTTTCCCTTCACAGAACTGGGTTACGTTAACCCCAAATCAGTTTACAAAAATCATGGTAACTGCCAAATAGCTCAAGAATCCCAGGATAAAAATATACGTCACAGTAAGAGAAAATTTGGGAAAGGGGCTACCACTTTTGCTTTGACACAGTTTGGAACAGTAAAGATGTTCGATCCCAATTTATATATACAAGTCACTAACTTGGAGATCTTTGAACTTTCAGAAAGATGATTCATAAAGAACTGTCCTGCCTTAGGACTGGGAGTATCTGATAAACAGAAACATACTTCCAGTGCAAGAACTGAAGTACGAATAAATGACTGGTTAAGACAAAGGAGCAGTGAGAAGGACGCATTAAGAACCCAGCTGAGACAAGAACCACACTTGCACATTTGTTTTCTGTCCCAAACTGGTTTCTCCACCGGGGCAGAAAATGTTAACGGTCACATCGCAACGTCCTGAGAAGCTGCTGGGCAGACAGAGGGTGCAGCAGATGCACTGAGTGAGGTTCTGCCCTGCTTCTGCCCCGCCTGGTCACGAAGGGTGGCTTCCTAAACGCGAGTCCTGGCTTTGACCAGCACTGTCACGGCCTCCGAAGGAGCCGCTGTTCAGAGCCGGAGCATGTCAGTGGGACTGTGGAGGGCCTGGCCGGAAAACACGGAATCAAGCTAGTCTCTCATCTTAATCCACTAGTAAAAGAATCCGTGAGTCAAGCTAATGAGACAACTTACCCCCGAACACAGGGGTCTGAAGACCCGCGCAGTCGACAATCGGTATAATCCGTGACTCCTCAAACCTTTAAGGGCCACTGATAGCCTGCCGTTCCCTGGAAGGACCACTGGGAACGGCCGACTCACACGTGTAGGTCTCACGTGCCGCGGCCTCACAACACAGTACCAGGGAACAAAGTTAAGGGGCGCCTGGGTGGCCCAGTGGATTAAGCGTCTGCCTGGAGTCGAGATCCGGCCGGGTTGGGCTCCCTGCTCGGCAGGGAGTCAGCCTCTCCTCCTTCCTCTGTGCTTCCCCCTGCTCATGACTGTATTCTCTCTCAATAAATAAAAATCTTTAAAAAAGAAAATGTTAAGAAAATCCTAAGGAAGGACACCTGGGTGGCTCAGTCGCTGGGCGTCTGCTTCCGGCTCATGTCATGAGCCGAGGTCCTGAGATCGAATCCCTCCGCAGACTCCTTGCTCGGCAGGGAGCCTGCTTCCCCTCTGCCTGCCCCGTCCCCCCTTGTGCTTTCTCTCTCCTTGACAATCAAACAAAATCTTAAAAAAAAAATCCCAAGGAAAATTTATAACAAATGCATATTTTATGACAAACGTAATACAATGAAGTCCACGAAAGTTTCCTCATGCAGCTCAAAGTCATGTTGCTCAAAGGGCAATTATAGTTTAAACACTTTGTGCCCCAAGCAGTCACCCCCGTTCTGTATATGCGATGCTCCTTACACTGAGGCTTGACCTTCAATCAACTGTGCCCCCGGGAGCACGAGCAAGTGCAGGCGACTCTGGCTGCTAAGCCCGCCGGGAAACAAACTACATCCGGAGCCCATTCAGTCGGCAAAGAACAAGCCTTTTTGAAAGACAGAATGAGGGGCGCCTGGTGGCTCAGGTCGCGTGGGACGGGAGGGCGCCCTGCTCAGCCGGGGCCTGCTTCTCCCCTGCCTGCCGTCCCCCTGCTTGTGCGCGCTCTCTCGTTCTCTGGCAAATACATAAATAAAATGTGAAGCAACATATTTGAAGATAAAAATAAACGGAAGAACTGCGTAGAGGAGGACCCCCTACCTCCCGGGCTGTCCCTCACGCTGCTCCAACAGACACCGCTAGGCCCATGTGCTCTCTGCCTGCCTCCTCCGTGAAACGGGGTGTCTCCCGTGCTGGGGAGACAGCCGCCCACGCCGGGCGACCAGGGCTGCGCGAGGCCCCGGGGACGAGGGCAGACGGTACCTTCCGCGCCGCCCGGGCTGGCGGGCTTCCCGACGAAGGCCCAGGCCTCCTCCTCCGTGGCAAACTTCTTAAAGCGCGCGGCCGGGAAGCGGTCCACCTGCGCTCTGCATTCGCTCCTGCAACAGAGCGCCGGGTTACCGCCCGCCTCCCTCACCCGCCCCCGACGGGCCGCCTGCGGGCCGGGAGCCGTGTGACTCGGCTGGGCTGTCGGCTCCGCGGGGCCTGCACCCTGCGGAGCCCTGTGCCGGCCGAGGGGCGCCCGCACGCCAGTGTGCTCCGCCTCCAAACACACTACAAGTGCCGGGCGGGGACAGGTCTGAAGAGGGGTCCCGTGAACCTTTCCGTACAGCTCAGGGGCGCCTCCGTGAAGCCTCCGCTCGTGCGGCCGCAACACGTGAACGCAAGCCCCGGGCCTCTCACCGAGCCCGGCAGCCCCCGGCCCAGCGGCGACCCCCGCAGGGCGCAAACCCAGCTCCAAGGGCCGTTCCAGGGATCCGAGTTTGGCCCGGGAGAGGTGACCTTTCTAAGGACACCGGCGGGGTCAGGCCAGGCACTGCCGCAGTCGGACTACGTGCCGCCACCGGGGAACGTCCCCTGACACACACCGGAAGGGTTAGGCGGGGCCCCGGGCGCGCTCAGGCTCCAGGTGGCCTTTCCGACGCCGCCCACACGACGAAACCGCGTCGGGGCCGGCGGCCGGGACCTGCGAGCCCACGTCAGCGGAGGCCGGCGGCGGCGGGGCTCCCGGGCGCTCCACCCCAGGCCGCAGGCCGCGAGCCCGGGGCCAGTCCGGAGAGCCGCCCGCGGCCGCCCCGGCTCGGCCTCGGAGAGCGCGGCCCACTCACCAGGTCTGGAAGACCCCGGCCTTGCGGCCCCTCCTCACGGCATAAAACATGCTGAGGCCGCTGCGGCCGCAGCTGCTGCAGCGCACGGCGGCCAAAGCAACGCTGCGCGCCACGCCCAGAAGCCTGGTCATCGCCCACAGCCGGCCATCGCCCCGCCGCTTAGCTTCGCCGCTGGCGCCTCCACCACACAGACCGAACTTCCGGCGACGGCGCGGAGAGTTGACGCGCGACCCGCCTGCGGGGCGGGGCCTGGGGGGAGGGACTAGGGCCCGGTGCGTTTCCGGCTCAGTTTCCTGGAAGTCAGGGAGACAGCCGGGTCTGGGCGGTCCCGGAAGGGATGGGATCTACGGAGGTGGGTGGGGACTAAGGTAGGGTGGGCGGGGGCGGTGAGGGGCAGGGTCTGGGGAATGTGGGCGGGGCAGTGCCGGGTGGGGGCGTGGTCGGGGCGGTGTAGGCGAGGAGGTGGCACTTGAGGGGCGGGGTCTGGGCAGCGTGGACGGGGTGGGGCCGAATGGGCAGCCGTGCCCCTCCTTGAGGGGCGTGGTCGGGGGGGGGGTCCGCGGGAGGGGCGGGGTCTGGGCGGAGTGGGAGGGCGGGGTCTGGGCGGGGTCTGGGCGGAGTGGGAGGGCGGGACAGCTGGACGCTCCTGCGCTCGCCGCTCGGCGTTCCAGCGGCGGTTTGCCGGCCTGTCCTGGTCCCTCTGAGCGCAGTCCGGGCTGTCCAACCGAAGGAATAGGTGCCTTCCTCCTAACTGCCGTAGGGGCCGGAGGACTGGCACTCGGCGATGGAAGAGAGAGCCGAGGCCGGAGGGAAGGGGAGCGCCCCACCCACACGGGTGCGTGACCGCGGGGACGTCAAAACCCAGTGCCCTGGGACCCAGGGAGACAATTTAGTTGCAAAAGCAGTTTGTTAGCTTCTCCCCGTTACTTGACTTTTTGCTCTGTAAGCAAAACAACTTCTTCGAAAAGCCCTGCCCACTGACAAGCCTCGGTGTTCCAACGACCCTAATTTCCTCCGGGTGCTCAGTCGGGCGAACCTCACCCCACACCTGCTGTCCTCGGCCCAAGCCCCGGGAGGCACGGCTGAGTGGGCCAGGCTGAGTGCGGGCATCCGCCGGGACGGGCAGGCGAGGGGGAGCCGGCAGCGCAGGGCAGACTCGGACAGGGAGACTGCGGGCAGCGGGCGGAAGACGGCCTTGAACGGCGGAGAGTTCGTTCAGGTGCATTAGGCAGAGAGCGGGAAGAAGGGGCAGCAAAGGGGAGACGGACCTTGCTGTGGTCAGGTGTGTGTCTGTGAACTCAAAGAACATCCATTTAAAAAATTTCCTCTTTCCTCATTTAAATTTAAATGGGCTACAGTCCATTCCTCGTTTCTATTTTTATTGCACTTCTGGATAGCCTCTTAAAAAGTCGTCCTGCGGCACCTGGCTGGCTCACTTGGAAGAGCGTGGGCTTCTTGTTCTCTGGGTTATGAGTTCGAGCCCTATGTTGGGTGTAGAGCTTACTAAAAAAATAAATAACCTTAAAAAATTTAAAAATTGTCCCTAAAAATCATTAATGGTTGATCATGATTATCTCTTCCCCTGTAGCTGTGAAGCCCGGTGATGCCCCTGCTCTCAGGGTGATAGCAGCCCCTCTTTTTACTGCAGTTCCTTCTGTCTTCACTCGAGGCCATGGAGCGCCAGTGGCCTTTGGGTGAGCTCAGGCTACACTTGGGACAATTTATTGCTAGACTTGCTTTTCTCAGAGGCATCACAAGCTCATCCTTTCTGGGTGACAAAAGGTTCAGTTAGGGACACAGATGGCTCTGGAAAACCTGGTTCCAGGTTAGGAGGCTGACTGGAAGAAGATCGGGGCAATGGGCGGAAAGCAAAAGTCTTCACTTTAAAACTCTGAGCTGGCATAGTCAGTCTACTCTGAAATGCTGACAGTAGTACAGGTTATCGACACAGCTGTGCCCATCGTGTTCCCTTGGGGAGGGGGAGGCTGAGCCCCTGTCAATGTGCTGCCCCTCCCACTGACTTGATCCTGGGGTCAGATGCACCTGGGACTTTCTTCTCCATGTAAGCGGGCTGGCTGTGGTCCTTTATCACAGGGCACTCATCATCCTGCTAGGTTATGTATGAATATGTTAAGAAAATTACCCATGTGGCTTTCTATAATTCCAAAACTGTTTCTTCCGGTGTTTCATTAACCAATTACTCATCTGAAAATCTTTCCTATCTTAAACTCTGGCTCCAAGTGTATGTGATTTACCCATCCTGGGCAAACGCTGGCCCATTCTCAAGACGGTACTGAGCACCGGCCCAGAAGTCAGTGAGACTTGACAGCATTCAAAATGAGTGAACTAGGTTTCACTGACACACACAATTATGGATAATTATTAGCAATATGATACTAAGTGAATAAAGCAAGTCCCCAAGTGGAGATAGGACATCCTTTGTATAAATGAAAACATGTACTCCGTGAGTTACACATGCATGCAGAAAGCCGTAAATCTAAAGGAAGAGAGGCGTGTCCTCCATGTCAGACATTACCGACATTTGCAAAACGTAAATCACTGCTACTCTTCTCACTTTGGGGGCAGGGGATATGGTTTTGTTTTTTTTTTTTTAAAGATTTTATTTATTTATTTGACAGAGAGAGACAGAGATCACAAGTAGCAGAGAGGCAGAGAGAAGCAGGCTCCCTGCTGAGAAGAGAGCCCGATGTGGGGCTCGATCCCAGGACCCTGGGATCATGACCAGAGCCGAAGGCAGACGCTTAACGGACTGAGCCACCCAGGCGCCCCAGATATGGTTGTTTTTAATAAAACATATTACTTATATTAACTTGAAGTGTGTTTACTGTTTTAATGAATAATTTAAAAATTTTCTCCATTTTATGTTCCATGTGGTAAATATCACTAGTCATAACCTACAAAAAAAATTCTCCAAGGTCTTCGATAACTTTTAGAAGTTCAAGAGTCCTGAGGCCAACATCCTAGGAACTGCTGACCTAGAAAATAATTATAGATCAACATAGGAATACATGAAAAATAATATATTCAAACTGTGTGCTTGTAATTCCTGTTTATACTTTGCCTGCAAATTGTATTTTTGAATAAAAATTTCTACCAGTCTATAACATGCTTCTGTAAAACACATTAGGATTTCCCAAAATGTGCAGTTTGGGATAGGTAAGTGTATGAAGCCATCCCTCGCTTTGGAAGAAGCACTTTTGTTCATTAGCTACCTGCAGTGTGCAGACGCCGTGGAGTCACTTTTTACCGTCGGAGCGGATGCTCCGGAAGCCAGCTCAATGTCCCAGGCACTATACCAAGTACTACTCTATGCGCACAGCCATATACAACGACCCTCACGACGCGGTACTAACGTCATCTTGTTCTCCGATGAGAAAGCCGAGGTTTCGAGTGATCAAGTACCTTGCCCACAGCCATGCAGACAGGCAGAGCTGCGGCCAGTACTCAGACCCCAGCCCAGCACCCATCCTGGTAAACTTAAGTCATGGCTCTCACAGTGTGGCCCTCAGACCAGCCACGAAACCATCACCTGGAGCTTGGCAGCAATGGGAATTCTGGGTCCTGCCCCACAGCAGCAGGGTCGGAACTCTGCCAGCTCTTCAGGGGGAGTAGGGGAAGTGAGGGGGGAGCCCAGCAGTGTGTGTTTTGGCAGCCCCCGCCCCGGGGTTGAGCACACCCCTCCCCTCATAGCCGGCCCCGCTGCTTCATTTCTGGTGCTCTGTTTGCTTCCCACCCCAGTCCTGGTGGACCTTAGGTTTATTTGACAGAGAAGGCAGGCTCAAGGAACTTTTGATGACTTGCCCAAAGTCAGCGGCTTAATTCTGGAACTGGAACTTGATCCGCAATCTTCTCGCCGTTAACTTAAAGCTGTGACCAGCATCAGTGAGGAATCCGGGGGCAGTCTGGTGAGAGCAGAAGCCAGCGAGCTCATTTTGCTGCCTTTCATCAAGGAAGAGAGGTGGAGCCCCAGAGCCGTGGGCCTGGCCACTCTGACAGCAGCCCACTAGACTCCATCCCCTATGAGCCACCCATGGGGCACAAGGATCACCTGCTGCATTCAGGATCTTACAGCTCACGCCCTGAGGTCCTGGGGTTAAGACAGTCACCCCCTAGAAGTCAGGCTCATCCAGAATCTGGATGAGGTGTGGTTTGCCACAAGTGTCAGTTCCTCATCTCAATACTCCCGAGAACTCAAAGCGACCCAGTCGGCTCCCGCAGGCATGCACTCCCCGACAAGGGCACCGGCTCAGGGGCTCTGGTCTTGCGGCAGGCACCACTGGGTGCAGCTCTAGGCGCCGAGTCCTCCTGCATTTGGACCATACGTCTGAAGCCAACAGGGGCAGCTCGGTGACTGTGAAGACAGAGAAGTCATACTGGAACTTGCCTTACTTCACTGTGTCATTCCCTGTGATCCCTTGTGTTCTAACTTAGTGAAATGGCTGCAACGGATTTTAGGGGCACCTGGCTGGCTCCGTGGGAGGAGCGTGTGACTCTTGATCTCAGGGTTGTGAGTTCCAGCCCCACGTTGGGTGTAGAGATGACAGAAATAAAAATGAAGAGCAGATTTTAGTTTGTACATTAAATATTTTACTGAATTTCAACGATGCTTTGAAGATTGAAATTTACTCTTTTTAGGGGTGTCTGGGTGGCTCAGTCGTCAAACATCTGCCTTCGGCTCAGGTCATGATTCCAGGGTCCTGGGATGGAGCCCTGCATCGGACTCCCTGCTCGGCGGGAAGCCCGCTTCTTCCTCTCCCACTCCCCGTTTGTGTTCCCTCTCTCGCTGTCTGTTGATAAAATCTTAAAAAAAAAAAAAGCAAAAACTAAACCAACAACTTTCTAAGGTTTAAAAAATTATTCTTTTAGATGTTAATGATTGATTTTAGGAGTGAGTTAGGAAGATAATGATGACCACGACATGGTGATAACTGCAAATACCGCTGACTGGGGAAGGATGCGAACCGTAAGCCCCTCGGCATCACACATGTGGGGGACGCCCCTGCCCCCCACTCGCCCCTAACACAGGCACCCAGGTTCCTACTGGTTGTGGGTCTTTCCCAGTCTCAGTCGGAACAGTTGCAGGAAATGCCCCCATGTGGCCCCAGGATCATGGTTACTGGGCAGAGGGCATTTCGACTGCAGTC